GAGGCAGGCGGATCTCTGTGAGTTCGAGACCAGCCTGGTCTACAAGAGCTAGTTCCAGGACAGGCTCCAAAACCAGAGAGAAACCCTGTCTCGAAAAACCAAAAAAAAAAAAAAAAGTACACAAAATCTTAGAACTGCCTCTTCATGTGGTAATCTGAATATGAAATTCCACAAGAAACAGATGTACCCTTTGAGGGTAGAAAATAAAACTATACTGACAGTTAATAAAACAAAAATGAATGGCACTAAGATAAGGACTTATACTGCAAAATTAAGCATAAATTGACACTGCCTTTGTTGAAACAATATGGCAGTTAAGTGATAATAAGGAAATGATGCATTCGCCAGACATAAAAAAAATCACTTAAAAGTATACGGCAAAAAACAAACAAACAAACAACTCAGTGGTTTTCAGCCTTCTTGATGCTGTTGCTTGTATAATGGTTACCCCCACATATAAAATATATATAAAATGTTGCTACTTCATCACTGTGATTTTGCTACTGTTATGAATTGAAATGTAAATTTTTTTTTCTGGTGGTCTTAGGCAACACCACAGAAAGAGTAATTCAACCCCAAAGGGGTCACAAGTCATAGGTTGAAAACCACTGACTCAATAGTTCCATACTATAAAACACAATTCAAAGAATGACCAAGGGGTAAGGAATTTTTTTTGGGGGGGGGAGATAGCTATATGTCAAGAAGGAACGTCTCCTTTTATATCCTTAATGAGTATGTCACACCTGGGGATTCTACAAAGTACATGAGAGTCACAAAATTTCTTCAACTTTTCTTATTGCATCAAACAGTATACAAATTTAATTTTCTTGAAGAATGTTAGAACTCTGAATCTCAGAAAAGGATGTTACAAAAAAAAGGGGGGGGGGATTACTGACCTGACAGCAATGGCTTGATCTGCTTAATTCTAGCAGCCATGGCTGGGGTGATTTTAGATTTGCCCTTAGAATCTGAAGAAGGTTCATCTGTCTCCATGGGAGCCAATGTGTCACCATCTAGCTCAATTCCTTCCAATAAGCCCTGGGTAGAAGCATCCATACTTCCAGCTGTTCCATCCTGTTCTCCATCTGCAAAGGTAAAAGGGAGTAGTAAGATCATGCAAAGTTGGCACTTACCTGGGTCCATGTTTTGAAGAGTCCCAAGAAATAGTGTTTGGTTCTATTTAAATTTCAATTACTTCCTAAGCTTAGGAGAACAAACCAAACCATCCCTCCAAAACAAAAGCAGAACAACAACAACAACAAAACCCAAAACTATACCAATGTTTCTCTGCTTGGAGTTCTACCAAGTAGAAGGATCTCAAAACACAGTACAGTGTGTATAATATTTGCAGCTGTCACTAAAAATGCCATGCAAGATAGAATCAAACTGGACATTACAAAACATGGGACAGTTTTAGTTCCCAGCATTTAAGAATCCTGCACAAGAACAGGAATTAAGTAGGAAGTTTTAAATTATGAGTGTTTTGCCAGCATGTATGAGTCTACACTTCTATACATGCCTAATGTCCACACTAAGAGGGTGTTGGGCCCCCAAGGACTGGATTTTGTACCATTTTGTACTGGGAATCAAATGTGGGTTCCCTGGTATGCTCTTAACTGCTGAGTCATCTCTCTCTAGCCCCCAATGAGTATGATTCTTTAAAAAAAATTATGTTTTATCTGTTTAGTATGTGCATGTGGAATGTGTGAGTGGAAGTCAAAAGAACACCTTCTAGAAGTCAATTCTCTTTCTTCTTCTACTTATATGAGCCTAAGGAATTCAGCTCAAGTCCTCAGGCTTGGCAACAAGGGCCTTCAACTACTGAGCAATCTTGCCAGTACCCAGTTTGAAAAAGATTTATTTACTTACTTATTATGTGTACCTGTGCAGGTGTGCACAGAAGCCAGAAGACGGTGTCTGCTGTCTTCCTCTATTTCCACCTATTTCTTTGAGGCAGGGTCTCTCACTGAACCTGGGGCTAGAGATTTATCAGCTAATCTGGAAGCCAGCAAGCCTCAATAATCCACTTATTTCCACCCAGCTCCCATTGAAACTGAGGTTGCAGGGATGCCTGAAATGCCAGGCTTATTATATGTGCACTGAGATGCAAACTTGGTTTGAAGTGATGGTGCAGCATAGAGGCAAGTTCTTATGCCGGTTTCAAATTCACTGTGTAGCCAAAGGTTACATTGAACTACTGTTTCTCCTGTCTTTCATTACCTTAAAATTACTAGGATCACTTGGCTTTGTCTGTATATTTAAACTCAAGTTAATAATTTTTGAGAAATTGTGATTTCTTTGTTAAACCTACTACTAGAAATGGGGCTGTGATACATGTGAAGATTGAGAAAGAAAAAAATCCCAACAAAGTCAAAAAGAAGTCTATAAACTTTTGGGAGAAGCAATTCTTTGACAAATTTTATCCTTGTTTCTTAATAAATACCTTTATTCTTTGATTGAAACTAGAAACAGACTAAAATTTGAGGTATACATTTTCCCTAAAATTAACCTCAGAAGCATGTGTATATATATACTCCTCCAGTCTTATTCACTCCCCAGAAAAACCAGAGGCTATTTAAGTTCTTATTTATTAAGAAGCTATAACTGCTTTTAGTCCCTTAGCTTTCCCTTTCAGTATTTTCATGCATTTTAAAGGATATAATAGATTTTTATAAATAGAACTGTCTCTATTAGTTTTTACTTTTTATTTATTTGAGGTAGAACTCATGTTTAAGAAAAAAATCTCTGAATAATTTTTTTATCACTTTCATGTTTGCTACAAAGGTCAGAGAATGGTGTGTGATTTCTGATTACACTATTTTGGAACTCTAACTGTAAGAACAAAAAATGACAAAAAGGGATAAACTTTAAAACAGTCTGTATCTAATTTCAACTCAGTACCCATATTAAAAGGCAAAAATAGGTGGAAGTTTTCAATTGACAAATCATTTAATTCAGTATAATCAAAATTGCTGTTCATAAAATTGAGAAATAATTGCTTTCTCCACCAGTTTTCAGAGAATTTATACTAAAAAATTGAGAATTCACACAAAAATTTAAAATATCATCATGTACTTTGGCATAATAATTTTTAGGACTCAATCTTATATTTACATAAAATCAAAATGAAAAACTTTCATTTTCCAAAATAGTACATTAGAAACTAAGAAGGGAATAGTCAGCTCTTGGCAGTTATGTAAAAAAGAAAGATCAATAAATAGATTTTTTCCCCCCATTTAAGGCACTCTTAAATAGACCCAGGGAAAAGATCAGGCAGATACTTCTCACACGGTGTATGTTATTTGGTGTAGAAATGTGTTCTGTTGTTGTGTTTAATGTATTATGTTTTTATTGGAGAAATGACCAATAAAAATCTAAATTTAATAATTAAAAATCAGCCAAATGATGAAAATTAAGGACTAAGAATGACAAAGAGCTAACTAAGTTTCACAGTAAGCCTATGAAGTGACAGGGACAGAATTTAGGAGAGGTAGTGACTAAGATTTTAGTTTCTTAGAGTTACCTGATCTTTTTCCGCCCTGGGTCGTACCTGCCTTCTCATCCTTTGGAACCAGTTTCTGCATGTCCGCCTGGCCAAATTCACATCCTGATGGTAGGCTACAACAAGGGAAAAAGTAAACCAACAAACAAAAACCAAGTCAAACAAAAGCACTCTTATAGTTTACTTATATTCTATATAGGGCTCTGACTTGCTTAACAATAGTTCTTAGAGCAGTTAAGTTATCCTAAACACAATAAAAACAGCAACAATTCTGGAAGTAGCAATACGTAAGATTTGTATCATGCTGATACAACCATCTCTGAAAAATCAAATCAATCATGCATAAGCTGCTATAATTTGTCAGTTAATTAATTCCTAATGTTAGAAAGTTTAAAGGACGAAGAGGCACTGAAACTTTATTAAACTCTCCCATACTTTTCAAAGGAACCTTGCAAGCTTTCTTAACTTTGTTAGAAAAGCTAAGCAAGATATTATAAGAAAAGATTATTTTCTTACCTGTTTGGAGTACACAGAGAGAGAAGGACAGTGCTTTCCCACACCAGAGAACAGTACAACTGGCTTAGCTTGCTCAGAACACTCAAACCCAACTGAGAACCCCACTGGTTTACGGAGATTGAACGAATTTCACTCTGCAACCAAAAAGCAGCATTCACATTTGACACAGTCTCCAAATAATAATGTTTTTTAAAACAATCAATTTTCACCTATTTTAGAAAGATGTAAGATGCTATTTTTCTGTTTGGTAATATTAGACGACTATAAACCCAGAATTTTTGGAGGCAGGAGATGACAATGAGATCAAGGAAAATCTGGGCTATATAAACAATGAGCTGGTAGAGAATGCATTCTTGTCCATAAGCAGAAAATAATGGTGTTGCTGTGAAGTTATTTATTTTTGTAATAAATTCCTGAAGATAATAAAGGTAGTAAAATGGTGACATACACAGATAGGCTACTTTCCTTTATTGTATGCGTGTGTGTTTATGCTTGTAGAGTCCAGAAAACAACCAGGGTCAACCAGGGTCTCTCTTGACCTGGAGTTTGTGCATTTGACCTTGTTTGGTAGTTCACAAGGAGACTCAGGAATTCACCGGTCTCTGTCTTTACAGTGCTTTTCTAGCACGTGCCAGCTGGACTGACATTTTTATGCATTTTCTGGGGACTGAAACTCAGGTCCTCAGATTTATATTGCAAGCATTATGGAACTGAGTCATCTTCCCACCATCAGCCATTTTATGGAACAGGAAAGACCGGAGATTGCAGACACAGCATTTGACACATTTTCTTCTAGTTGTTGTCTCCTAACTATTCATTTAAATGCTTTGTAATAAAATATCTTTTGTCATCTTATTGTCATGTCTACATATACTTATACACAGATTACTTAGTAATAAAGGCTACCAAAATTAATGTTTGCCTGCCAAAACATAAATTCAACCCTTTATGTTACAGAAGAAAACAATGATGATTACTTTTTTTTGGATAGGAACAAACACGGAAATGCTAATCAGCAAGTCATGCAAGCTCCACTCATCATTTTCTATCTGCCCTCCAAAAGGAGGAACGGGTAAGGATTAACCTCCTGACAATTACTTCTTAAAAGTCCCATTAATATGACAAATTATTTGGTCACACAACTGCTAATAAGAATAAAACCTCCAGTACCAGGACAGGTTCCAAAGCCACAGAGAAACCCTGTCTCGAAAAACAAAATAAAACAAAACTAAAACCAAAACCAAACCAAAACAACAACAAAAACAGAATAAACCTAAGACAGTGAAACTACATACCAATCTAAAGCATGAACCTATAACACCAAACAGATAAAACTATCAAAAAAAATCTCAATGTTAAATCAGGCTATTCTTTCAGTTACTACTCCAGGTAGATTTGTTCTAGGCACAATAATCTGGCAGGTCTATCAAGACCCTTGGCATTTCATTGGCTTTAAGTTGAAACCAGAAAACTTTATTTTTACCTGTCCAACTCTGCAAGTGTGAACAAACATCATGATATAGGCATGGGCAGCAGTGAGAGCATGCAACAGAGGTGTAGCCTGAGCTGAGAGGGTAGCATCAGCAACATTGCCTGCACATGCCAGTTCTCGAAGTAACACTGATCCCCCAGGGGATTCAATGGGCCGGTGTAAAGGTTCCAAGGAGGAAAGGATTGAGTCCAACTGAAGGAGACCTTCTTGAAGAACTTTGGGCTCATGTGACAGGGTCTGAAACAATAATGAATGTGATAAAATATAATGAATCACATATATGTAAACCATGCCTTTAATATTCACAGTGGAAATGACTAGTACTTGAACTCTCCCAAATTTCAGTCAGTCATGTCTCTCACTTTATAAATGACAGTACCAAAATATGAAGCCAGGAATAATATATTTCACTATCTTTGTGTAATAAACTATATTTAGACTTGAGCCAATCATACTTAAAGCATATGAATGTCAAATAGGACTGTCTGTTGTACTGTTGTATGAGAGGTTAGTTTCAAATTCTGCTTAGAAAGGAGCAATGTTAGGCAAAGTTCCAAATCTAGAAAATGAGTCATATTACAATGTTTTTATTTCCATTTCTAAGAAGTTAATATTTTAATAAAATGCAAGTAAACATTGTTGAGTAAGGAGACTGAGGTGTCATGTGAACCTCAACCTTCACCTCATTCAATGTTACATAAGCTAAGTCATAACCATTCTAGTAGTACAAATGGTACAAAAGGAAATAAAGGAGAAAGCAAGTATGGTAAAAGCTATTGACTAGTCAAACTATTAATAAATGAATTATATTTTCAGGTAAAGATGTAATTTCATAGCTATAATGCTGTCTCTTCTTTCCAAAACAAGAGTGATGACTAGGAGCTTGGCATCAGGAAGGCAAATTATTTTATTAGACAACCCAAATAATACATTTCTTTTCAAGTTAGGGAAGAAAAATTTGGCAATTAAAGATTACCACTTGTTATGCAAAGCTAGAAATTATTTGCCTTCCTATGGCTTGAAATAAATCTATCCCTCCTCACAGAGCATCTTAGAGGTGGGGTAGTTAGATCAGTCCTTTCCCCTTGTTCTCTTATGAAAGCACTTTATACCTGCAAAAAGTGAAACAAAATAAAACATTAAATTGCAGTTTCTAGAAATTATTTATCAGGGCACAAAACAGCTGACAGAGGAGCTTTATTGCAATTAGTATCAAAATTCCAATTTTTCTTTTGTTGGGTGGAAGGCAGTATAAAATTACTCTCTTAATTCACACACAACTTTTCAAGGAACCCCAAAAAACTAATAGTCTTGGGGTACAGGAACACAACTCAATTTGGAGTTCTCACACTTCCTGTTTTCCAACCCTATTACAAATTTATTAGAAATCAAAATTGTGGTACTGGCCAATAACAACCAATGGAAAAGAATAAAGCTCAGGAAGGAAATTTCACATTTTATAGTTAAGGGGTATTTGAAAAGAGTGATAGGAGATGATTTAATATAATGACAGTCTTCTCAATAAATGATATTGGGGGAAACGTGGTATGCATACACAAAAATATGAAGTTGAACTTTCTGGATCTCTAAATACTCGTAATGTACGAAATGTATCAAGACCTAAGGACTTAAATAATACAATTCCTAGTAAAGCATAGGAGGAAAACTGTCTAAATTTCTTGGCAACGATTTCTTGGATAAACACCACCACCAATACACAGAAAACAATGACGGCAACCATCACAAAAGGTAAAATGGCCTTGAGTGGCATCAAAACCTTTTGTATATCACGGTATTATCAACCAAGTAAAGACAACCCACAGAATGAGGATATTTTCAAGTCAGGTATCTGAAAAGAGAGTGATACCCAATATATACAGAGATATTCAACAATCAACAGCAAAACACCTTAGTTCAATTAAAAATAGAATAAAGAACATGAATATACATTTAGCAAGATGCACACGTAGACAATAACTCAAGTACACAAAGGAAGAGATGCTCAATATCCACCAATTACTTGGAATGCAAGTCAAAATGAAAATGAAACACTACTTTATATACTCTGGAATGGCTATTATTAAAAAACAAAACAGAAAGATCTAGTATGGAGATAGTGAAATTACAGTCCTTACATGTAGCTAGCAGGAATGAAAATTGCTTCTTAGAAAAGTAGTTTGAAGATTTCACACAGACACAAAAAAATGATTATCACTATTGAGCTATTTCCCTTCAAGTACACATATAAAAGATTCAAATTGCAAATCTTTGCATGTATTTTTTTAATATTTATTTATTATGTATACAACATTCTGTGTGTATGCCTGCTGGCCAGAAGAGGGCACTAGATCCCATGACAGATGGTTGTGAGCCACCATGTGGTTGCTGGGAATTGAACTCAGGACACCTTTGGAAGAGCAGACAATGCTCTCAACCACTGAGCCATCTCTCTTTAAGAGCTATTTATACACTGGAGTTACAATAATATTCATCAGGGGCAAAAATGGAAGCAACCTAAATGCCCAGTAAGGGGAAATGGACAATCATTTAGCTTTAAAAAGAAAACTGGTAAAAATCAACAAACCTGATAAACCCTGATGTCATAACAATCTCAAATAATATACAATACCTATAATTTAGAGAAAGTAAAATAATTGCCAAGGTTAAGGCAACAGGAGAGAACAAGAAGCTTGCAAGATCAAAGGTGTTTTTAAAATCAAAGGTGTTTTGGGAAATAAAGGAGCTGGGGGGGGGCGCAAAATTTAAGCAATAAATTACAGATCAATTCATGACTAATAAAGCTTGGGAAAAAGGAAAATACATTGCAAAATGAATAGAGCACACTAAAACCAAAAATGCTAGCATAACAAAGCATGAAGGCTAGAAAGCTTTCTTTAAAATACACTTTACACTCATATAAACTCAAAGGACGTGACTACACAGCAAATGCAGAAAACAAAGAAATATAATTTCTCTATGAGAAATAGTATGAAATATATTAAGCGGAACAGACACAAATTTATCAATTTCATCTATGGGTAAGGGAGAATACTAAAAATACAATCACAGATGTATTACAAAACTCATTTCTAAGAGGAAATACTTGGCGAGATGTGTCTTACCAATATGGATTTGCAGACACCTGCAACAGCCTGACAGGCAGCAGATGTGGGAAAGTCAATGGGCAGATTGGGAAGACCCAAAATGGTAACCAAAGGTAAGAGTCCTTTCTGATTCACAAATTCTTGGCAGTGGTCATCTGTTGTATTGTTGCTCAGAATAGATTCCACAAATTTCATCTAGGTAATGAAAAGGTTTTTTTTTACAAGTTAGACGCTAACACTGTTCTGAAATAAAAAGGGCAGCCTTATAGTCAAGAAATCAGTACTTTCTATAATAACACAACTTCAAGCAAAAAGGGATAAATGGTACATACACAAATCATCCAGAAAATAAGGAAATACAATTTCCCAATCCACCTTTTTCAACCACACCAGGAGTCAAATAATATGAAGGCAAAGAAAAGCTAAATCACTTGCTCAGAGAAACACTCTGAATTAGTGGTATAAATGGGTCCAATGTCTTAATTGTCTCATGTGACACATAATATAGATAAAACAGTAAAGAATAAATAGTAATGGGAATTTTCAATTCTGGGAAAATTAGAATTCTCATTTTCCTATGAGATGGGAAATTAAAAGGCACATGCAGGTTTTTCTTTATAAAGAGACGTAAAATAGGGGGAAAAAAAGCATGAAGGACAAAGTAAGACATAATATGGGCCTAACACATCAAACCTTGTTAAAATTCTTATGTACAAAAAATAGCAGTGAACAGAAAACAGACTATAAAAAGGCTGGAGTACTGGCTAATTGTTACAAAAGGAACAAGAACAAAGTATTTTAAGGTTTTCACATCTAACCCTCTGTACTTTAAAGGTCCCAGGGAAAATAAACATTAAAATTACTGTGTTCTGACAACATGACATATTATAATGAAAAGCAAAAGTCTTTAATTTTTTTCTACAATGAATCTTACCACATTAAGGATGTAATCCATAAGAGGGATAGGAATACGTTCCTCTGTACCAACAACCCTGTAAGAAAAAAGGAGTCAGTTACACAGAAATTCACAATACCAGTGAAAGATAACAAAGTGAGGACCGGTAACAGCGTCAAACTTTAGTTCAAGCCATACTAGATTTTAAACCACTTAAGACCAAAAAAAAAAAAACCCTGAAATTAATAATGAAGATGGAGTTGAGTATAAATATCCTATCTAATCAAACTACTATATGAATTCAACAAAATAAAAATATTTAAAATAAATTCAATTAAAAGACCAATCATTAGCCTACTAGGAAGAACCAGGCAAAGAAGCAAACATAAAACGTAGGAACATAATATTGTTAGATTAGAGCATTTAGTTTTGCTTAAAAATATTTAAGACTGAGAAATTTTATCATAGAGAAAGCTGAATTCTCAAGGCCTCCTTTCCCATTAATCGGTTACTTGCAGGATGAAAGTTCATGAACAACAATTATACAAACTCCTCTGACACCTCTTTTTCAGATCTGTTCCAAGGACTCGTTTCCAGAATGCT